GTGGAGGGCGTGAACAACCTGGTGGAGGCCGATTATTCCTACTGGACTCTGGCCTACGCTCTCTCTCAGCGGGGGGCAAAAAAGCTGCTGGACGCTCAGCCTTTCTCCAAGATGCTGCCGGTGGACGAGTTCCTGCCCATCATGTTCAACAAACACCCAAAGTAAGTCCTCACCCCGGCCCCCAGATGAATGCGGAGATAGGAAAGTAACGCAAGGGAAGTTTATTTTATAGCACATTTAGCGTACAAGGCTGTTCAAATTGCTTCACAGAGAATTTAAAAGCAGAAAAACAAGAAAAGAAAAATAATCAATTTAATAATCCTTGAAATGTGAGCTGAGGTTTGAGTTTGGGACACTCATCCTGGGTGATGGATTCTTCTTTGTCTGGTCTGTGTTGAGACATTTGAGCTCTCAGACTGATGTGGGTTTCATGTACAAGACAATTCAAAGTGCTTCACAGAGAATTTAAAAGCAGAAAAACAAGAAAATAAAAATAATTCATTTGATAATCCTTGAAATGTGAGCTGAGGTTTGAGTTTGGGAGACTCATCCTGGATGATGGATTCTTCTTTTTTTTCAAATTATTTTTATTGAAACAATTGATAAGATAGGGCAGAAGACTACACTTATTATCGCATAGTAATAAATTATTAATATCAAAAATGTATTTCTGTTTTTTCTTTTTACATATTTTGTTAAAAGGCCAAATAAGGAATTCAAACAAAAATAAGTAATTTTCTTTTTTGTTTTACTCTTGGATCTGGCTTTAAAGGATTCAAACTGGCCGCATCACTGATGTTACTCGGCTTTTTATTAAAACTGGTAAATGTTGCCTGAGGATCACAGGTTGCAGGTGCTCTTCCCTTTGGGATGAAACAAAAATGGACAGAAATGAGAGATGAGGTCACAACGGCCAAGTTTAAAGTCCATGCCCTTCCCAAAAAAAAAAATCTATAGAGCCATAAAGCCCAGCACGGCTCCTAAAGGATCGTAATTATACTAAACATAGACACAGACATGCATGTTTGTTTTTTTGGAGGCATTTTCTGATTTCTTTCTGTGATCTCCAGTGTGCTGTGGTGGGAAACCACAGCCCGTAATGTTCATTATGAGGTCGGCAAACTTCTCCTGGTCCTCTCACACAGGGCAGGGATTGTTCTGGGGGCTCACCGGGTTCGGACACATGATCCCGGAGCTCTGTTATTTCTTTATTTTCTGGGGGTTGCAGTTGTTCCCTGCTCTCCTCCATCACCACCAGCTCCTTCAAAATTCAAATGACTTAAAAATCAAATGGCATACACACAACTCCTATTATATACACTGTACTTAACTCATTGGCTGCCAAAGACGTCTATAGACGTCTTTTATGTTTTTCAACGAGAGTGTCTGGGGGACGATCTGCTAAAGCTTGTCCGTAAATATCAGGCTTCTAAACAGAGTATGTAGTAACAAATTGACCCTCTAGGGGGCAGTGCCACTTTTGATGGGAGATGAGCATAGACTGTAGGCAAATAAGAAAAAACGCA